CGTCTACGTCATACTTCGAGATTATGATCACTGCCCTAGTTGACCTCCATTTAAAACGCTCACGAGATCATTTTGGGGTGGGACTTATCGACTGGACTACTGCTTTGTGTACACAACAGAGTAAAAATAACCCGATCAACATGTCATTGGCAAAATTCCAACTTCTGCCACTCCGGTAAAAGCGATATATAATATGTGCTAGTGGGTAATATTGCAATACCTTTTTTGCCATTGTATACTATCTTTAAGAGTTTCAATCTGTTTATCTTTCAAAACAAGGTTAGATACTCCTAAATTTGTCTTCGCAAACAAAACCGCCTCTGTGAAATTATCTTTCATGGGCGCCGCCATATTGAATAATTAGAGGACTATTTTGTGATTCGGCTTTGATTAGTTTGACATCTTTCATACACACAGCGGCTAAATAAACATATTTAATTTCATTCAATATGACAATAGAAGAGAAATAAATACTTCCATGGGCGCAGATCCCGGTTTTGGACACCGGGACGCGTCCCCACCAATATTTTTAGTGGTGGGGACATGATATACTGTGTCCCCACCACTTATTTCCGATGTTTTGCTTACTGTTTATTTTTTGAAATTGAAATCATTCCAGAGCTTTTATTGACATTTCAGAAAGTGTAGAGTTGGTCCCAGGCACTTGAGGCCAGGGTCCTTGAAGTTGTACAGCTGCACCCGGTGACCGATTTTTATTTAACAGGGAATATGTGATAATTCATATTATAACAGTAAATAATTAAAATATTCCATAGGGATGATAATAATATGTATATGTAGGTGTGCATATCTGTTACGCTGGGTATTAAATAGCTGAGATTTTGTTTTTATCTGGTATACTGGATGATAAATCACGCAAATTATAAAATTCCAAACACGTAATTTCTAACATAACATCACCACTGTCACATTCAAAATAGATAATATAATACAACTGGTACTATGTGAATTAAAATAGCTATGGGAACAATATAAACAGCTAGATTTAAAGATACATTATGTAAGATTTACATAAAGAACTAGCCATTTTTGCTATAATAGTTCGAAAGTAGATGATGTAAAATGAATAATTTGAAAATTTCATTCAAATTACTCTATTGCAAGCGAAGATATTAGCCTTTGAAGGTTTGACAGACGTGTGCAATAATTTCAACCACCGTACTGGTTGATCGAAGCTAAGTCTCGGTCCTCCTTATTTGATTAAATCAAAGTATCGCTGAACCATTCTAATCTATTTAATATCGGAGAAATCTGATGCCACCGAGAGTTGATTAAGGCCTGGCTCAGTTAATTAATGTCTAATTAATACTTTAGAAAACATTTCAGACCTAAAGAAAGACCTGCAATAGGCAGATTTAGCTCTTGCATAATGCATGTTTAACTTTAAAAAAAAAAAGCGAAAAGTTATTATTTCAATGTGGTCGCCATTTTTGAATTTTAACGTGGGAAAATTCGCCTTTGCCATCGGATTTTTAATCACCAATGAATAATACAGTAAAATGTTACATTTATTTCAATTGGGATTGAATATTGATATGTTTAGCTGTGTGTGTGGCATGTTTTAGTTTATATAAATTAAAAGATTTGTAGGATTGTACATTTGTGTATCCAATTCGAACACTACTGGGAATGGAGGCGGAGCTGGAATCTCAGTAGTGTAAATATTTCTAGTTCTTGTAGTGTACATGAGAGAATAAATCGTGAACGGTGGCTTGAAGATTTGTCTTTAGATTAGATTTCCTCTCATTTGCTGCCTCAGGGATTAGAATTGTTTGCCAGAAAATGATGCTGAAAATACCGACAGAGTGCGTTTTAGAGCGTCTAGTTTTCACAAAATTTCGGGGGAGGACCCCCGAACCCCCCTCTTTACCAATATTCGCCCGCGCATGGACTGTCCCCACCACTAATTTTTGTCGATCTGTGCCCCTGAATAGTTCTAAAAATTACTAAAAGCATACACAGTGTTTTCGACTAAAATCGTCGATGTAGGAATTAAAATGTCGGTTAATTAGTGTAGGGCCTGTTCTCAGGCGGAGCTAGCTGTAGACAGGCAGCCTAAGTTTGGGATGCATGTACATCAAGCGCTCAATCTCAGCGTGCAACCTTCGACGTCACGCGTGCAGACACTCCTAATCGTCAGGCTGTCGATTAGGGAAACCCTTACATTTTTGTCCTGTATGCGCTCCATGAGTGTTTTTCAGGGAATCCAGTATTTTTCTAGTAAGATTGGATATTTCTACTATCCATATATACCACAATTGCCATACTTTTATTGGAAATAACCACCCGATAAATACTTTTCTGGGAACGTAGCTTAAGGAGGTAAGTCTCTAAGTCTCTAATTCAACCTTGCAAACACGACTTCTTATACCTTTCTAAGTTCAAATGCATTCAACACGTGACATCACGAGGCGTAAATTATTGGCTGAAGGGCGCGTGCATTGTTTACATAACGTCTAAACGTCAACTGATCCGGGCAGAATGATTCCTTTAATCATTTTATTCCACTTACACTAAATAGGAAATTTTTGTAGAATTGAATTTGCCGAAGGAAAAAAAAGTTAATACTGCTGGCCGGACATGACCTCTTCCTTTGACTGCAATAATTACGACACCTGCGAACTGGTTAATGATGAAACAAGCAGTATAGTTTCTGATTACAGATATCCTTGCCCTACCAATAAGAATAATTTGATGAGAGACCTGCAACATTTGTGGCAGCCCATTTTGAGTATGGTATAATATTAATTTGTCTAATAAGTAAACAAACGAAAAATAAATTAGAAAAATAAATCACAGACAAGAAACAATAATTACACTATAAATAAAATAAAGACATATTTTAAAAACAGACGAGCTGAAAACAGTTAAATAATGTAAATTTTGATTAATTTCGAGACTCTTCTTTAAAATATTTCAAGTTGGAGTGTATTGTCCTGAGATCGGACAAGTAATATTAATAGATTTTACGTGATATTTTATACGACAGGCATCGGATGCAATTTTTAAAACGAGCTGCTTTATTTTGTATTGTTTAAAGAATGTTGATGGATTTCGTTGGTAATTTATACCAAGGGAAATTTCAATATTCTAATTTCAATATGTACATTACAGAATGTAAAGAATCAGATAAACCATATTTGTACACAGTTCTAACTAGTTTTACCACAATCTGATTAAAATACAATCTATATTTCGTTTCGTTTTTTTATATTTTTGAACTATAAAAACCGAAACGAAATACGATCTGTGTTTTAATCAGATTGGTTTTACCAATAACCCCAGTTAAGAATTGAGCTGAAAGAGTCCACGTAATCTTATACTTTAAAGGTATATCAATTAAACATATACTTAGGACATCTATTATCTTTTAAGTTTCAAAATATAGCAAATATCATTTTAGGCCTATTTCGAAACAAATAATTTGCCTCCATCAAATTGCATTTTGGGGTCCATGCAGACCCTCTCCCCCTCTCTCTCTCCAAAGCATAACGACAGCCTATTCATTTATTTAGAGATGTACAATGCCAGAAATTATTCATTTACTAATCAGAAGATGTTCCTCATATATATCATCAGTATCACAGAAAAGCATTCCCAAACGCTTGATCACCACCTAGAATCTAAATCTACACCACAAAACTATTCTAGAAGACTAGGTCTCACAAATTCCCCCCTCGTGTGGAGATGTTCTTACTTCAGTCACTGAACTACATCCATGTTGTTGACACGTACAATCAAACAATTAAACATGGGCGTAACAAATTAGTAGAAAAGAGAAGAGATTTTAATCTCCAATCATATCGACCAGTTAACAACTCTTGTTTGCCTGGAAAGTCCGTTTAATTAAACATTCTTTTTTTTTTAAGGAAAACCGATTTGTACAGAAAAGAAATAACAGTTGAAAAAAACAAATTATCAAAACATTAAGGTAGTAAAAATCGACCACGATTTAAATTAAAAATAAAATACGTATATTTCCTGAATTCATGTTTCTGGCTTTAAAAAAAAACGCCATCAAAACAAAACAAACTTCCTACTATAAATTGAGGGGGAAAATCTTTGAAGTTTGTAAATGAAAATGAAATGAAATGAAATGGGGTTTAACGTCATACTGTTCTGCTCCGGCTGGGCTAATGAAGACGGGCATACGCCATACAGTGTGCTATGAGGATTTTGCCCGGACAGCGGCACTACGGCCTACTCTTATATCGAATTCCAACTGTCAAGGGATCTTTTATGTGCACGCCAATGTGTACACGGGACCTCGGTTTTTCGTAACATCCGAATGACTAGACAGCTGTCCTTGTCAGGCCCTCCGTCCTGCATCACTGAAAAGGGGGAACCACGCCGGAAAATCTGGATGAACTTTCTCGTCCAATGCAGGGATCGAACACCCGACCTCCAGGCTAGCGAGCCAGCGTCTTACCCACTTAGCCTCTGCGATCCCCAGAGGTTTGTAAGGGCTGACCTAGGTGAGCCGGGTAATAAGGCGGGCCGTTACAATTTATGTGTCCAGTGTCCATACTTTTATCAAAATAGAAGGTATACCAAAAGAAGGAAAACTATTTAAACCAAAATTCTGCGATACGTGCCTTGTTTTTTGAAAACCCGGGGTGCATTTTACAAACACTTTTTAACTAAGCAACGATGGAGGACCTCGAATATGCCTTATAGTAAACGCCGCCTCTGTCCCCCCTAAAAAAAAAATCGATGGATCCACGCTTGTTTCGTGATCTCCAATCACTCACTACTAGACAGTACCCTCGCCGACAGGTTTTAGTAGTGGTCTTTTGTACATTTATTTAATTAACCAGAAACGAGTCTGTATAAACGTGTTGTATTTGTTTACGTCACTTCTGTGTTACATTAGATTCAAGTGATGTTTACATTCAAGCGGTCAGTCAAATATGAAACCGGAAAAAGTACGACTCGAAGTTTAACGAAGTTGACCGGTTAAGACAACGGAGACGCGCTTGGTATCCCAACTCAGTGACTTCTTGAAATTCAGAAGTCTATATCAACCTGCTCGGGAGTAGAACAACGTGAGGATTGGGAAAGTGAAGGGATATATTGGTTAAAACTTTAATTCTGGTGGGGATTAAAAACAGTTTAAATTGTGAAAAGTATCTTTAAGATAAATAATAAAAAACAAAAACAATAACACTTTAAAAATCGAATACGATTTAAACCTAGCTTAAACATGATCTTTAAAAACCATGATTTAGAATTTGTGACTTGACGGCGATTGTTTTTCGTGAAACTAAAAGGATATCTGGTTGACATCGGCTTTACTTATGAACTAACAAATTTTAACAAAAATAACCATAGCGGAAACTCAGGTGTTTTTTGTTTCAAGCTATTTCATATTTACTATACATGTATTATGGTATGCCATAGACGTATGAAACATTTCAACTCAATGTGTCGTGGATTTATACCATCCATGTGGTAAGTAATTTTAATTATAGAAAAAAAAGGGACAATATAACTGATTCCATTAAACATATCACTAATATTTGATCGAAAACAACCATTGTCCAAAATTACTTTATAATACTTATTGTTTAACCATATCAAGTAACTAATATTATGCAAACTATGTTATTTTAATCCTTAACATAATCGGCAAGATCATTAGATTTAATTTCACTATTGATGCCATAATTTTTTTTATAAATTATCTTGTGTCTTCACTCGTAGATAATTGTAATAACTACGCATTGGTCCCAGGGGTTAATAAAGTTCAAAGTTCAGCCACTATAACATGCAAAAAACAAAATGAACACATTTCTCATCATTTTTATCAAACTGCATTGCTTACCTATGTAAGTTTTATTATACGACAACAGATCTCTTGGTGTACAAACTCACCAAAATATGAAATATGTTTTCTTGTAATTTACGCAATAGTCAAACAACAACTAAGAACAAAAATTGAAAACCCATATAATTTTACAGACTTTCAGTTGATATTTATTTTCTTCTCACAGTTTCCATTTTATTTGTATTATGTTCACCATTCATATTTTAACATTACTTATTTCATTTTAATACAATTTAACATTTAGATATTTTGTTGACATTTACTAGACCGTGAAGCTCATCAAGCACTATGGCGAAGACAGTACAATATAAATGTTGATAATATTGGTATTAATAACAATAACAACCTAACGAAATGTAATTCAGTTACAATTTCATCGTGAAATGTATTGTCTGTATATTATTTTAATTTTTTTTAATTTTGGTGGGGTTTTTTTGCTTGAAATAACGTGAAAGTCAGTCAGTTGTGACATTCCAGAATTGTTATACATATTACTTGAAAATGGTAGTATACATTTAGAAAAAATTGTGTAATATAAAGAACCTAGATAATTTAGACGTCCATTTTTGTTCAACTTTTGCCCTATTTTTGCCTTATTTTTTATACTGGCGAATTATCAACACTGGCCAAGAATAGGTTAATTACCATTCAAATAAACGATAATTTATTCCATACCTGTAGTAATGAATATATTTTCACCTGAGTTTTGTTTGATTGTATTTGTGTCTCTAAAGTAAATAATGTTTATAAATGGAAATGTTGAGCAAATACGTATAAATATAAATGAGATTCAACATTTATTGAAATCGTGGGAACAAAGTGGTATTCAAATCTCGTAATATTGTGGAAAAAATTTAATTTTGACCAGTGGTTATCCAGTTTACATTTAGATGAGATGCGAAACTGGAACTGTACTGGAGAAACTCAAGTGATATCCATCCTTCTTAAACTAACATGTGTGTGTGTTACTACTTAGACCTACAGATAATATTTTGCACTAATTTGTGTAGTTTAGAGACGATATAAGTGTTGAAATTAAGCAATAATTTATGTTGTGTTGTTTAGCTTGTAAACGTTGTTAAATTTAACAGTTCGGTTGTGTTATTGTTGTAAACATTAAAATAACCAAAGGCATACCTTCACCAAGTAATGCTAAACTTCTAATAGTGTGCCCAAAATGACGTTTAATTTGGAATGCTGACGGAAAACAAAGTCCCCACATAGTTATTTTAAGTTTTCGCAAACAGAACATTTTTCAAGTTAATTCATGTAACAATATTGTATCGTTAAAAACCGACAAGTTTAAAGAGAGGTGGTTTAAAGTTGTTGTTTATAAGAAAACATAGGAAAGTGAACTTTGTGTAAATAAATTACAGCCTCTGACCGAGTTAAAGATTGCGAATAAGATCATTTTTTAAGTGAGACTTTTTACAAGTTAAACATATTCTAGCCCACACTGTAAAAACAATCCCAACAATATCAAAGAAACAACAATTTAAAGAAAGTAATTTATTTTGAATATGATGTAAACACGGCCTTGGATGACCACATTATGTTCCCATCCGTCAGGGCCAGATTAAGCTTGCATGGGGCATTTGACTGAAAATGTCACTGGGACCCTTACATCAACAGAGAGAGAAAACCCACGAGGTTGGACAGGCGACCCTACTCCTTGTCACGTACAGCCGGGGAATCGAAACCACGCCAGTTGACTAAATGACAGACCGTATGATACAGCGCGCGAGTGCTAATTAACCATTCGACCATCCAATCAACAGAGAAAAAGGGGGTAGGGGCTATTCTGGTCATTGTACGTCACACTCACACAAATGCAGTTTGTATGTTAGACAGTTCCGACGTGGTGTCCTCTTGTCAGTGGGGACGGGGGCCTGCCAGGGACAGCTGTCTAGTCGTTCGGATAGGACGAAAACCCGAGGTCCCGTGTATACATTGGCGTGCACGTAAAAGATCCCTTGGCAGTTGGACTTCGATATAAGAGTAGGACATAGTGTCGCTGCCCGGGCCAAATTTCCCGTCTTCATTAGCCCAGTCGGAGCAGAACAGTAGGACGTTAAACCCCATTTCATTTCATTTCATGTTAGATATATTTATTTGACACAAAAATATACAAGATAAAGAATAAAATCATTGAATTATAAATTATATGCTTTATCTACAAAGTCCATTGTCCGTTAAGATATTTTTTATTAAAATTTATTTTAATTTGCAGGGTCAAGATTCTATTATGTGTATTCATCACCCTGGTGTTGATGCTCAACTTACAGACAAATATAAAAAGTATCTTCGACATAACAGAATTTCTGAAGATAAATACTAATATAAATAAACCCACGGCTATAGAGTTCAGGAGCATCGTCGATGATAATCAACAAGAGAGTGATGAACTTCACTTCCGGTCAAGTTCCATGGAGAGTGACAAATCATGTCTACCTACTACGCGTGTGGTTTTTCTAAAGGTTCATAAAACCGGAAGCTCTACCATTGCCAATTTATTTCAACGATTTGGTGTCACCCATAATTTAAATTTTGCGGTTCCAAGAAAATCCAAACATGAAAATGGATATAATTATATTGGAAAACCTGGAGAGGCGATAAGGAAGGAATCGCTTTCGCCAATTCCCGATAATCAAGTCTACGATATTCTGTGGAATCACGTGGTTTATGATCGAACGGCTTTCCGCTCTGTGATGCCTAACGACACTGTGTACATAACCATTATTAGGGAACCATTCGATCAATTTGTTTCTGCTTTCGAATATTTCAAAATGTATGGTATCCAGCTTTTTAAAAATAATATGGCGTCAAGTATTTCTGCCAATCCAATATCAACGTATTTGAAAAATATCTCTAAATCGGAATCACCGCGGAAGAGTTTAAGCCATATTAGAAACAAAATGGTTGCCGACTTAGGAATGACTTTAACCCAATTAGCAGATCCATATAAAAGAATGGACTTCCTACGGCAACTAAATAAAGACTTTAAGCTCGTTATGATTATGGAATATTTTGATGAATCTCTTATTCTACTCCGGAGATCTTTATGCTGGACACATAAAGATATTCTGTACTTCCCGAAAAACAAAAACATATTTCGTCCTCGGCGAATTTTTGATTTGGAGGATCATAAACGCCATCGTGCTATTTCGTTTGCGGATTACGAACTTTATGATTTCTTTTATAAAGAATTCAATAAAAAGATTTTACGAGCCGGAGATGATATATTTGAAGAAGTGCGGTATTTTAGACATCTACAAAAAATAGTTTGGGATCAATGCATGATGAAAAAACATGTAATTTTCCCACCATCAAAATGGGGTGCTTCGTTTCACGTAACCAAGGAAGAATGTCAAATGATGCGAACCGGGGAACTCGCGTTTCTCGACTACATAATGAACATAACCTCAGCTAAATATATCCGATTTTTAAAGGAAAAAATGCCAGAGAAATAAAAAGAAGAAATAGTAGTTATATTATAATTCATGTATGGCTTTTATTGATCGTCATGTGTCCATTCCCAGGCCCTGTCGAGAAAATGTTCGGATTGTTTCAGTCCAGTTGCCAGATTAGGTAAATGTATAAGACAGTTCAGCAATGTCAAAAACCTTCACTATAGGGACATAACAAAACATTATAATGCATCCAGTGCCAACATGATAATTATTACCTCGAATATCTAGTCATTTGTGCGGGATGAAAAACCGCCGGGTGTACAAATCGGTAGTGCACGTAAAAAATTCGATGGCCATTAGAATTCGTAACTGTCAGATCAAAATTCTCCATCCACAACCATCGCATGTTATCACGTTACCATAACCCCGTGTTGAGTTAGAGAGGAGTTAAAGCTCGCGAGTTCTAAAATCAGTGGTGAATCAGTTTAGCGTCTGTGTATTATTAGACCAGCCAGTTCATGAAAAATAGGTTCAACCCTTAAAATATTGCAAGATAAGGTTTTTTGATGATTTCTGGTAGTGTTAAGTTTACCAAAATAGAAGTACCGTAAAGTCCCGAATTTTCAGGTTAAATGTCAGGTTTTATAATAAATCAGTCAATTTATGAAAAAAAGGAGACAACTACACAAACAATTGCAAGAAGAGGTTATTTTGATGGTCTCTGGTAGAGCTGGGTTTACTGACTGACATCCTAAGAGTTTACTAAAATGGGAGTACCGTAAAATTCAAAACTTTTAGGATAAATGCTAAGCCTTTTTAAAGTCATTTTCCTTTCAAAGATAAAGTGAAGAGAAAGAAATGACACCTTGCCTTAGGTTGTCAGAGCCAATCTTTCATATGAAATGCTTTTCATAGATGCCCGATGCTCCCTGTGCCATTTTCGGGGGCTCCCCGACCCTCAAAATCTTTGGCCGAGAATCCACATGTATGAATGGACATAAAGCTGTACTGTTTCGTCATAAAATAGCAAATTTGGTCATTCTGGCATTTGTAGCAATGGTGTTAACTGGCCTTTTACACCATTTTCAAGTGTACTCCTACACCACAACCTGCGACCGAAAACTCAAATTGACGAATAGACATAACTAATGTTTTTGGGGTCAATATTTCATTTGAAGTTATGCTCAGGGGTGTTAACTGGTCCCATACACCATTTTCGGGGTACTTCATTACATACTGGCATATAGGATACCCCTATCCCCATAACCTACTGTCGTGGAAAATGAGTTAAGCAAGACAGGTAAAAACGACGTGTAAAGAATATTTACTAATAAGGCGTGCTGTTATCTAAATGATTTTCAGCACATGGAGTTGCTTCCCATTTGTTAAAATAAGCGTCAATATCAGTTTGCTGAACTATACAACGTTTTTGTTTGCATCTGATATACTATAGGAAAGGCATGTGGCTGTAATGAATTGGAGTTAAGAGGAGGTTGCAGTGTTGTACACGCATCTGCGGAAGTCGACAAGGTAGTTATTGAAGTTGTAGAGTTGCATTTCACGGCAATGATTGAAGAGGTCACAGATCTTCTGATACTGCCGGTGCAGAATGCAAACATCCGTGTAAAAGACATAATTTTCGTTTCGTTCCGACAAACAGAGTGCAAAATTTGTGTATGGTATAGTTTGTCTCAAAAAAGTTCTAGGATCTAGAGTATGTTCCCAAATCGTGTTTCTTCATGCGTTCGGCATTGGCACAAAATTGTTATTACAAAGGAGATCCTGTAATAGCAGCAGTATGTGCAATATAGAACATACTATTATGTCATGTCTTTCTGTGTTCACCATCTTGTTGTTGGGAATGTTCATGATGATGCACCAGAAGCATCTTCCTCTTGTCCTGAAAGATACTGATAACATTCCCGGGGCAGTTTACAACAGTTTTTAGATGACCACAGAAAGACATGATGTAATAGTACACCATAAACCGTCCATATTGTGTCATTCTAATGTTCTAAAGACCCTTCAGTGTCATGTTCGGATAACCTTAATATACATTTATAGGGAATAAAGCCACAAGTTTAAATGTTTTAGTACATAGATGTGCCGGTCGGCATAGTATCTCATTATATATGGCTATATGACGATAAGATATTCCTATACGTTCATTTTACATATAGGGTCTTAAACCAACCGTTGATTAGGCGAAGGTCGGCCATTTTGGATTTTAACAATTTGTACCGTTTACCGTTGCGCAAGATTTGGTAAGCTTTTCGGATGTTATAAAGAACACCTAAATTAACGCAAAAATGCCTAAAAACCTTGTCTTGCAATCATTTAGGGGTAAAATCATAAATTGGCTGGTCTATATTGTTTTTCAAGTGATCACGTATACCAGATTGTGAATATAATGGTAAATGAAATTAACATCCATGTGTAATCGATACAACATGAAGACAGTAACTAGACTATCAGGGGCGGATCGAGGGGGAGGGGGTCCAAACACCACCCTGTAAAGCAACACTTTATGAGAAAAGTGTAACGGTCGTGTGCTTTATCTTTTATCATCAGATGGTGGGATAAGATTGACATTCAAAGCGCGGAATATATACATATGTGATATCACAATTAATACTTTGTATCAATGAAATTGAATCACAATGTGATCCTATGAAGTCATTATAAAAATTGATATCAAAAGGGGTGTTGGATTTCTCTCTTTAAAAAGCTCAATGTGTATTATGCCTACATAATGTAGAGACAATGATGGTATCATGCATTGTCAACAGTCGAATTTCCTAAACAGGAGTCTGCCCCCCCCCCCGCCCCTGCATAAAATTCCTGGATTCGCCCCTGACTATACATAGTCAATTTCATGTAATCAACCTCCATTAATACCTCAACATGATTTATAAAGTGCACAGGATTGTAGGCTTTTATGGTTGTTGTCTTGTACGTTTTATAATTCAAAATCGTTTAACTGGAATTTGAAGAAACAGACGCGAGGACTACTTTCAGAGGACTGGGTCTGGGAACCATCGAATGATAACTTCCTTTTTTCAAAGCGGTGAAGAGAAAGATTTATGGATTTGTCTCCCTTGTACAAGTAAACCAAACCCAATACTGTATTAAATCCTCTGGAAAAGCGAGCATAGTATTTTACATTACATTAATGGTGTACATGTAGGCCGGAATTAAATTCATATTGGGAGGGGCGACGGAGGGTGTGTGTGTGTGTGTGTTTGGGGGGAAGCCTCTCTTCTTTCGGTCACATACATTTTTAAGATAAATTGTATTATAGTTTCATGTTCAGATAATTTTCCTTTGCTCATTTCTATTTCCGTGTTCCACAGAGTGCAAATATTTTAAATGACAACCACATTCTTTTACAATTTTGAGCCCTATATGGTTTGTGTTATAAGTATCATGCAGTTGTTAGTTGAGAGCTCGGTATTTCCTCCACCTGTTGTGACCTGTCTAATGACCGCCATATGTCCATCAAACAGCAACCACGGCAAATAAACGGTGGCTACTGTCACGAAATTTTTAAAACACCCGCTGTAGCTGTACAGTCATATCACGTCAAACGCGACATTATATTGGTTACCGACAGAAGATCTCCAAACCGCCATAACTGCCCATTCAAGATAACATATATCTTTATGTTTCATGCCATATGTATTACGTAGAAACGAATCCAGAGTTCGTTGTGCTTTTGTCTTTATACTATTTAAATCAAATTGTATTAATTATGCTTAAAGATGCCTTCCCGCGTACAAACTGTGGTTTGATGATATATTTGGACTAAAAACATTATTCTAACAAATTTATCTATTAAATCTCCCTCAAAACATTTTACTAACAAAAACCAAGCCATAAAAATCAATTTAACAAGCAGGTTGGTGGGGGGGGGGGTAAATTCTTCAATTATCCTCTGCCATATTCTTGTTAACTGTTCTCACTATCGATAGCTATTCTATAAACACCACGACGCGCTCCTTACGTCACTCGAACAGATATCAAGTGGACAGGTTGCCAGTTACATTTTTGTCCTGTGCGTGACCAATATTGTTTTTCTGGGAATGCATTATTATTCTAGTATACTTTCCATACCAAATTTGCCACACATTTATTGGACTATAAATACTTTCGTGAGAATGCATAGATTATAATAATAAATATATAACGATGAGGAAATCCTAGAGTAGCGGAAGTAAAGCCTTTTGACAAAGATGAATGAGTTATGTTGTTTTTATCAATAACGAATTCTAAAGCTCTTTTGGCCATTGTCAAGTTATATTAGTAATTCTCTCAGCGATAATTAGATATAACAAGCTTGAAACTAAACATTAAAGGACAATATCCGTATAGTTGCATTTTGTCCACCTTAAAAAAAACCATAACAATTTACCAGATCCTATAAACTAAACCTCTATTGTCTCGAATAAGACACCCACTGTGTCCTGTTGGGTTAACAAATTAACACAAAGTTATAAAAAGTTGGACAATATAAGAGCATCCTTTGTCCGAATGAATCATTGCGTCTACTCCAGTATAGACATGCTGATATTCCATATTCAATCGTCGTTTGATTTGATTATTTCGCAGCTAGTTTATACATTGTAATATAATTTAATTTAATGTAATTTGAAATGTTCACAATAACGTTTACAACCCTACAAGCTATCAATTGCGTACCTGTAAGAGGATATGTCTTCCAGGGCAGTCCTTGACTGTTTTCGTGAAAATAAAACTGTTTTTGTGTTCTGCTACAGTACCAATAGGGGAAAAAATGGTTTCTCAACGCAGTAGACCAAATGCCCCACTCCCAGCTATCATACTGTATGTAGTGCTTTAAAAAAAATTCGTTTTCTACCAGACATTACATAAACAATTCTGCTGTTTAATTTTGTCCGACAGAAGTTTCGAGTTTGTAAGCAATTGGCCCGTCTTCATTAGCCCAGTTGGAGCAGAACTGGAGGGCGTTAAACCCCATTTCATTTTATTTCATTTATAAGCAAATGATAATAAAAGTGCCCCCCCCCCCCACACACACACACACTTACACTTCATCTGATAAATTCACACTTAAAACAAATTTTAAGTCCACAAGTCGGACAACTTCAAAACCGTATCGATTTTCTGAAAACTTATTGACAGTATAAACACAGCATTATCGGTGTTAAATTTTCTTTTGATGAAACAGTGCATTGTCACTTTAAATAAAGAATAAATAAACAAAATGGCGAGATGTTACTCAGCAAACATGTTCCAGTCCCTGAAAAACACCTTAAATAGTATTTAGTACATATAGCCTCTACTTTCTTATACTTACAAGACCTAATTTGGATATATCCTTTAAATGTCAGGGGTCAATATTGACACTGTGAGCTTGTCACACCAGTTTCACCAACCATAATATTGTCATCATCCCACAAAGAGACATCGTCGTACAACCATGTCACTTCTCTTCATCATTTAATTCGATGAATGAAGATTGACTCCCTGAAACGAGTTGCTCTGAGTGGGCTAATGCAGACGGTCGATGACCTGCATCACACGAAGATCTGATCAGTTGTAGTGGGGGCGTGTCAGGGGTCATACGAGCGGCTTTTGACCTATGAAGTCAGACATTTGATAAACCAATCAGCGTTGACGTTTCTAGTAGGATACCCACAGTTCCGTGCATCGCACGCAAAGAACTTGCTGCAACAGACCATTTCATTGGCTAATCCCTCACATCAAACAGAATGCGGGTTGTAAAACAACTCCTCCAGATCCTAGTATAGTAAAGACAAGTAAAATGAAATTTTGAACTATAAAAAACGTAATGACATAGGATCTGTATTTTAATCAGATTGAGAGTAATTCTTTAAACATACATTATACAAGAGCTAAATCTGCCTATTGCAGGTCTTTCTTTAGGCCTGAAATGTTATATAAACTATTAATTAGAAATTAATTAAATTATCCAAACCATAATCAACTTTCGATGTCATCGCTATCCTGCGATGTTTATTGGATTAGGTTCCGATTTGCTCTTTGACTTCCATTCATGATTTAATTATGAAATGGATAATCGAGACTATGTTTTTTATCCTACCGACTTAAGTAATGATGAGCGAGGCTAGGCCGAAAATTCAATCGCTAAAATCTCGGTTCAGAGTGAATCAATCTGACTGAAATTTTCAGCAAATTCGCTATACATTATCTAGTTTTTAACTATTATAATGAGAACTGTCAGCTCTTTATCTAATCTCCCATAATGTATCTTTAATATATCAACGGATTGGCCATGGCTTTTCGTGCTATACAAACAACAATTCTCATTGCATGAAGTCACAATGTGCATCAATCCTGCATGGAGGTGGGGGGGGGATCTATTGGCTAGCGGGATAAATTTCGCCATGTTGAGCGAAGATGTTAACCGACCTACAATATTGACAAACTGTTTTGACGAGCCCGGGAACATGAATAATACAAATAAAGAGCGTATAAAAGTATTATATGTTAGAAGTTTAAGACTATTCTCACGTTGGACTACTTACAGCCTTAGTGAGCTCTCTACACATATTTTTTAACATTTTCTTTATTTATTTAGAAATCAACAATCATGGTAAGTGTTGCTTATTTCTATTATATTTGAGACATCTGTGACGTTGAATCGTTGATTTATTACACTATGATTAAAAAAATCATTTCCTTCATATTTCATTCACGGTCTTATAGTGGGTATATGTTGGATATGTTTAAAAAGTCCCTTTGTAGACGTATCTGAAGACAATGTTGAGATATATTAGAAATATACCCAAGTATATTCAAATGGACCATATATTCAATAAGCCAGAACATTCACCTTTGTGAAATATGAATAATTTTTACTGTTTTATACAGTGTTGTTATTAGTATGTAATTTTTGTAATTAAGCACAGCTGAGTAATAAAAAGAAATTCGCGACGAATAGGTTGGCTTGTACAAAATTATTATTACTTTAATTGCCTAAGGTCCATAAAGATGACAGTGTGCAATCAATAGAAACAAACGTAATCGAAGCTGCACTTAGAATTGAATCGATTTTTACAAATAGGTAACAATACCGTTGATTGTATATGGTCTTAAACTCGATATTTAACCATTTCTTTTTTGAGGAGATGGGGGGGGGGGGCATTCCTAAAGACTTATAATTAATCAGTTAGGACTTAGAAAGTTTCCATGGGAGTGTTTACAACATGATGGAGATGCTGGATAAGATCAGTTTGTTCCTATTGTTTTCTTAAAACGAATATCAAATATTTGAGACTTTCAACTGCGTCAACAGCCAGTGCATATAAACATTATCTCTAAACATGTTATTTTGGCAACTGACCAACATGTGTATGTTTGATGCTAAAATAGATAAATTAAGAAAGGTGTTGAATTTGTCTGTTTATTTCATCGATTAACGTTTAAAACAAGTAATTTGGATAGTCTGTTTATAGTTTAAAGTTGATTTTCAAATCTTTCAAGCCATGCATCACCGAGATATAAACGTTTTAACTACAAATTTACAAATGTTTTAGTTGTTTTTAAGACTGTTGTCCAGAGTGATAATTCCCCTTTAAATGAGCAACATTTGCTTGTGAGTTAGTAATTTAAGTTTAAAACCTTGTAGATGCACCGTTGTAAAATATTCACCGAAACTAACATGAAAACGAGCTTACAAGTTGAATATTTATAAACATATAATTAACATAAATTTAAACTTGCACAACCAGTTGCATTTAGATTTTTTTTTTTTTTTTTTTTTTTTTTTTTACAATAGACCCGTTTTACCTGTCACTCGCAACAGTATACATTTAAATTTTCGACAAAATCTATTTGGCCGAACAGATGCAACATCTGTAAGTTGTTGACTCAACTTACATCAAACGTCAAACCTCCTTCAAACGATCACAACAGTTTTGGCATTTCATTTGACAAAACGAGTTTTCTATCTGAGTTCATAATGTAAATCAAGAAATGTTCTATTGTTTGATTAGGAACGTACTAGCATATACATTTCGTATTATGACCAGGAAACTGTACAGAAGAGATGCGGAACTATCTCAGAGGTGTAAAAATGTAAACCTAAATATGGACATCTCCATAATAACCTAACCCAGATTAATATTAGACTAGTTTACATTTCAACGTAAAAATCAATAGAAATTGAGAAAGAAATGGTGAATAATGTAAACAGTCTCTTTAATCATAATTCATTGATCTTGACACCAGTCAGCAAGGAATTTAATAAACGGCTTACCGATAGACTCTTTATATGGTATGTTGCTGTCCGTAACAACATCAAAAATCTAAATTAGATACTTAGTATAAAAACTAAAACGACTGAAGGGTAAATGGGGTGTGGTGGGCGGATGGAGACAACAGACTTCTATCTGAAAAGTTATTTCCCTTAAAATATTTTGATAGCTATTAATATGAAAATATAGCTGGAATAAGTATCATACTAATTTTCGATATGTCAACTGCATGAGTCAGTACAGACAGATGTTACAGGATATACGAATTCTTTCAAACTGTCGTATTGATTTGAAGTTATATGTGTGTATTATTTTGATTATATAAATTCAATATGTTTAATCCACACGCTATATTTTTTTATTGCAATACAATTGGTATAACTGTGTTATTTGGTTGATAAGACTAGAAAGTTCTAGATGAAACATCGTTTACAATGAACGAAAATTGTAGTTCATCGTTTTGTGTCCTGTGCATTTTCAGTTCCATTATATGGAACGATTTTATAAAATATAATCTTAGATTGTATCTATATAGGCTCTAGTTGAAGGATTAAAATAAGACTAGCTCGTTTACGATCAGGGATTAATCATACGCCTGGAAATCAATTCCTGTCTGAGCAAAATTTGCATCATAGCCCACTGGGGAGGAGTCACGGTGGCTTAATTAGTAAGGCGCTGGCTCACTAACCAGGCGGTCCCAGAAAGTTAATCTGGGTTATCTAGCGTGGTTTCTCATCGTCGGCGATGCAGGATGGAAGGCCTGACAAGGACCGGTGTCCGATCAATCTGATTAAAACACAGATCCTATTTCGTTTCGTTTTTTATAGTTCAAACTTTCGTTTTATTTGTCTATACTACACTAAGATCTGGAAGAGTTGTTATAAAACCTGCTTTCTGGATGGCGTGAGGGGTTAGCAAATGAAGCCATCTGTTACGGCGATTTCTTTGCGTGCGATGCACGGAACTTTGGGTAATCCGGAGAGGGCTAGATCGGCGACGGCCCTGCACATTTTAGCACATGTGCAGGACCGTCTCCGATCTAGCGTTCTCTGGGTAAACCGCTAGAAACCTCAACGCTGATTGATTAATCAATGTCTGACGTCATAGAGTCAAAAGCCGTTCGTACGACGCGACCTTTTACTACAATCGGCCAGATCTTCATGTAGTGTAGGCCATCGAAAGTATAAAACAACGAAACGAAATATAGATCTGTATTTTAATCAGAGTTATGACCAAAATTTCCCTCACTTCACACCGCTTACCACATGCCCGTCTTCGTTATCTCAGTAGTGCCAAAAAACCCATTTCATTTCACTGGAAATAGCTAAATGAGATTGCAATGGAAAGATATGCGTTCTTTCAATGAACAACGTATTGGGCCTCTAAATGTATTTTCGGCCCCGTTACGTATAAGATACGTCCCTTGTAAATAAGATTTGAAAGTTAGGTAGTGCCACTGTTGGCTGCAAGTCACAGAACCTGACAATCTCAGCACCCCAGGTCGTCTTGCGACACCAGAACCGTTTCTGCTCAGCGGTTCAGGCAAATAACAATGCATTTATTTTTTCAAGATTAAAAGGAATCTGAAAATCCATTTTAAATATGAGTAGACTGATAATGACCGCCGTTTGATGATGACTATCACCAATGCCAGAAAGGAAAGAAGACCCTATGTGTCAAAGTTTGAAGATAATTATTGTCAAATGGAATGTTTGTTTTTTAGTATTCACAAACTTTTTGATTTGTTTCAGCGTGAGTGTATTTCCATCCACATTGGCCAAGCTGGGGTACAGATGGGCAATGCCTGTTGGGAGTTGTACTGCTTGGAACATGGTATCCAACCTGATGGTCTCATGCCATCAGATAAAACAGTCGGAATGGGAGATGATTCATTCAACACGTTCTTTAGTGAAACTGATGCAGGCAAACATGTACCTAGAGCAATATTTGTGGATTTGGAACCAACTGTCGTAGGTATGTACGGAATAGAGGGTCTAAATTTCACCCCCTTTTCACCAAATATGGTGAGGTCGAAAATTCCGACTGTCCACACCTAGTTTTCGTGTTGCGTACACTCGGACTGTTGGTATAATCTGCCATATAAGTCCGATTAACAATGTCACTTCTGCGAACACTTCCCGGTTAGATATCATGTTGGTTTCTAGCATCCACTAATTGGCTGTATAGGCTAGGGGTAGGGGGTAAGTTTAAGTCCGGTGACCACATTAGATGTATTAAATACACGTGTCCCAACATATCTAAGGACCCCAATAAGGTCAGGTCAACAAACATTTAGAATTCAAACATGGCACGTCGCGTAGCTATGTGAAGTTTATCCATAGAGTCTTTATCGGCGAATCTTTACTTTATAAGGAAATAAACAAACATGGAGTAACTGTTTAACATTTACCCAGGATAGGCCTGCACCTAGGTAAACAATGAAAACATATCATCGTCTAATTACAACACCACGGGGAACACCCTAAAATGTTGATATTTGTATTGCTAAAGACTGATAACTGGGCTCACTATAAAATGAAATAACTTACATATTCTGTAAGTCCAGATTGTGCGTTCACTTGGACCATCCTTTAACATTCTAAAAGTCCAAACTGAGTTCACATCAACTATTCTATTTATTGTAATATGAAAACCCTAAATGTTTAAACATCTAATGCATTAGCCCCAACCTGTTATAGAAACAAGGTGTGGAATTTAAAGTTTTCCCTTTCACAGGTGCACCTATTTTGACATATAAATTATAGAATGTTAGCGCTGATCGTTTGTAATTTTGACTAGTTCTGCATTAACTATTATTTTTTCATTCATTCTTCTTTATTAGAAAACGTTTTGATGTTATCATAGTGGACGACAAATGAACAAAGATTTGACACTGTATTTCTAGCGTGCATAAGACGACAAACGTTGAACAATTTGGTGCACGTTGTACAGTTAAACTTTGTTGTTACGAAAATGGTAATATCGAAGACCTGAGTTATGTCTGGCGTCCGTTGTCTGTCTCGCAAAGCAATTTTCTGTGTTTGTCTCAAATATGGTTAATTTGAGAACTCAATTTGATCCCTGACAATCAAAATACTACATATCACCTTTCATATTTCAGATGAAGTTAGAACTGGTGCATATCGTCAACTCTTTCACCCAGAGCAACTTATAACAGGAAAAGAAGATGCTGCTAATAATTATGCTCGAGGCCATTACACCATTGGTAAAGAGATCGTCGACAGCGTCCTGGACAGAATCCGAAAACTGACCGATAACTGCACTGGTTTACAAGGTTTCCTCATCTTCCACAGTTTTGGTGGTGGAACCGGCTCTGGGTTCTCTTCCCTGTTGATGGAACGCTTGAGTGTCGATTACGGTAAAAAGTCGAAACTCGAGTTCTCTATCTACCCCGCTCCACAGATTTCAACTGCTGTGGTTGAACCCTACAACTCTATCCTCACTACCCACACTACTCTAGAACATTCCGACTGTGCCTTTATGGTTGATAACGAAGCTATTTATGACATCTGTCGCAAGAATCTTGACATCGAACGCCCAACCTACACAAACCTCAACCGACTGATCGGACAGATTGTCAGCTCTATTACGGCCTCTCTCCGATTCGATGGTGCTCTTAACGTCGACTTGACCGAGTTCCAGACTAACTTGGTACCCTACCCACGTATCCATTTCCCACTAGCTACTTATGCTCCAGTTATATCGGCAGAAAAGGCGTTCCATGAACAACTGTCCGTTGCTGAGATCACCAACGCATGCTTTGAACCAGCGAATCAGCTGGTAAAATGCGACCCACGTCATGGTAAATACATGGCATGCTGCTTGTTATATCGAGGGGATGTTGTTCCCAAGGATGTTAACGCTGCTATTGCCACCATCAAGACCAAGAGAAGCATCCAGTTTGTGGATTGGTGTCCAACTGGTTTTAAAGTGGGTATCAACTACCAACCACCAACTGTTGTACCAGGAGGTGATCTGGCGAAAGTCCAGAGAGCCATGTGTATGTTGAGTAACACCACTGCTATTGCTGAAGCATGGGCTCGTCTTGATCATAAATTTGATCTGATGTACGCTAAGCGAGCTTTCGTACATTGGTATGTCGGTGAAGGGATGGAAGAGGGTGAATTCTCTGAGGCCAGGGAAGATTTGGCTGCCCTAGAGAAGGATTATGAAGAAGTGGGTGTTGACTCGAATGATGGTGAAGCCGGAGAGGATGGTGATGAATATTAACTTCCGATTACAACATCGTCCAATGCTAATTTGAACACCAAACACGTGTAATTTATTTATTTTAGACACAAAACTGAAATTTTACCATTCTTTACCACAAATATTGTTTGAATTACATACCAATCTGATTATAAATATACACGAAACGAAACAAATGTGTCATGTTATTTTAATTAGATTAAATTACACAGCTTTTGTTGTTTTAAAAAACACAACATACCAGATATACATATAGTCTTCCATTCCAAAGATGAACCCATTGCTTTAATAATAATTTCTGCATGAATTCCCGTTGAGTTCTAAACCCTTTTTGTTTTATCACATAGCGTATTTTGATTTAAAAACCTTTCACCTAGAATCTCCCCCTCTTGTCGTATAGAATAGAATAGAACCAATTCAACAAATAGTCGTGCAATGTAAACCAGGCTTAATAATAGTTTATGTATCCATATTTATAAGAGTTATCATTTTTTAACTGACTATAATAACTGTATCATGACTATAGTTTTATTTTGACAATGCTGATGCAATGGTGCTTGTAAGGAAAGACTGAACTATTTATTTATATGTTCAATATTTCAATTATAATAATTCAATACAGAGCTGATTTTTAAAGCCAGAAACAGACTCTTGTTATTTTATTTCCTATGCTACGCTCTGTATAAACATCAGAAATGGTATAAGGTATTCTAGACAAAGTAATCATACCCTGTCTTGTATCTGATACTCGTCTTGTGCTAATTGGGGCGATATTTTAACAAGGAAGACAGATGAGTTTATTGTGGAGGTGGGTGGTTGGTGCGGGCGGGTGAAGAATCCGGAGAAGATGAATGTGGTTAGTAGTAGCAATGGTCATCAAACAAGATAAATATAAACGAAATGAAATGTCTATTTTTTTCACTCGATGTTCAGCAGGCACAGGTTCTCTTACGGGCATGTCTTACGTTGTCCCTTGCCAGGTCTTCCGTCCTACACCGCTGGTTAGGTGGAACCCTGCCGGAAAATCCTGATGAACATTCTGGGCCAACACAGGACCTCCAGGTAAGCGAGACGTAGTCTTACGCACTGAGCTACCGCGGTTCCAAGATAAATATAATCTAATATCCCACTTTTCGCATGAGAATAGCTTTCCTAACGTGTTTTAAACGGTGTAAGAAGTTCACCTGAATGTGGAGTGAAAGGATTGCCACTAACATACTTTTCAGTAATAATACGCTATCATCTTTTATATCTTAGTCCCAAACTGACCAAGTTTCAACGGACTGTTAAATCCCATTCAATAGAAAGTATGAAATGAAATGAGTTTTACTTTTCTAAAATCAACTGGGTTAATGAAGGTAGTTGTATTTTGATTTCCGATTATCACGGGATCTGCAGCCAATGTTATGCTATCATGCAGAATCGGTTAAGAATGTATGGCGCTGTTATCAATAATCAAGTATCTCACATTATACAAGATATGTTGTCTGGCAACGAAACATACACCCACAGCAGCTAAATCGTCCACGCAGTCTACAAGGGTTGTCTCATATTTTTCTTTTGTGGGCAATGGGGGCGTTTATAAAACACTGGTATCAATTTAATACAAATCTGGTGATAACATTTGTTGTCTGAGCGCTCACGTGGTTATATACTCTTATTTCGAATTCGAACTGTCAAAGAGGTTTTTTTTACGTGCACGCTAACGTGTACACACAGTTTTACGTCCCATCTGAATAACTAGACGCTGCCTATGACAGGTCCTCCGTCCTGCACCACTGACAAAGGGAAACAGCGCTGGAAAAATTGGGGGAACTTTCTAGGCCAAGATGAGGATCAAACCCCGGAACTCCTGATTAGTGAGCCAGCGCCTTACCGAGCCCATCGTAATGCAATACTGATAAGGGGAAAGCACGCCGGACCAGGATCAAACCCTGGACCTCCCAGTAAGTGGACCAGCCCCTTACTGAGTTACTGCGACTCCCTTGCATGGAAAGCAGGGATATTAGCCATACATGTACATTGCAAAGTTTCTCCCCAATAATGCATGGCTTATGCTCATCTTCATTATACGGGTTGGTGCAGAACAGTAAGCTATTAAACCCCATTTGATTTCTTCTCTCTTCATTACAAATGTCACCCCCATTACAGCATTATTTAGTTTTGGCCATATCTATTTTAGTGAGAAAACTAGATATTTATAAATGCTTTGTTTCAGTTTAAATACCTGTTAGAACTTTATCCTCAAATCCTATCTGAAACACAGGTTTACAGCTATTATAGTAGAAATAATATTTTGGGGAGCACTTATATGGGCCCTTGTCTGTTGTTAAATCCTATCAGTGTACAAGGTACAGGGGATTCTTATTTAAATCAAAATTTGACCAATACACTATTCTTTTCCAAGGATGAAGACATTATGTATTTTCGCCAATATTTAATTTTATGTCAACTTCAGAGTTGTTAAATAATGCGTATACATTTTATACAGATCAGATGATAACTTTTGTCATTTGACCATTTATAAGATTCTATACAGTGAGAGAGAGAGAGAAATGGGGTTTAACGTCCACTCGACACAAACTAGGTCATTTCGGGACTAACATATGGTTTAATTTTATTTCAATAATTCGCTTGCGCGTAGGGGTCTTTAGCAGTGGGAGGAAACCGGTCCATACAGTGAAACAAGGGCCAGAAATTAACGGAAATTGTTGAAATTAAATAGGATTCTTCAAATTATTATTATAAATAATAAACATAAATTTCATACAGATCGGGTGTATTCAGATGGGATTAATTTCGTTATAAACAGATATTGTTGAAATTCAATAGATTTCTTCCTTTTACTAATTTAAATAATATACATAAAAATTCCATACAGATCAGTTCGGGAATTACATAAATGGCATGGGTTAGGTCAAAATTGCTGCAAGATATTAACTATCCAAATTGTTATAATATAAATCAAGTAACTTGTATTCCATACAATTATGCCAAGTTATATAGCTTTGAAGATAGCAAGATAAGCCATTGAACCACCCAATAAAAACTACGTTAATATCAAATAAATGCTGACCATTACACAGTTAAAGCTGAACTCCGATTACAAAACTACAGAAATAATCAAATAAAAAAAATTAACACCCTAAATAATCGCCATACTTGTTTTCAAGTTGTAGAAAAATCATGGACGATTGTACGGCGTACAAAAACAAGAGGCATGTCACGCCCACATCCAGTTCACGCCTTGTCAGTTTACTGAAAATATTATTGCTACACAATTATTATATCTGATCAGGTACATATTATTTTACTAATTAGACGAAATAAGTAAACCACGGTGTACTTTTGCTCTAAAAATAAGAAACAAGTGCCTTACCACAAACAATAACAAATCTACGAACAACACCAACCAATTCTATGTTGTTGACATAACATCAAGGGACATAACTACTTCACAAGATGGTGAATATTTTGAAGTGAAAAAACACTTCTTTGATGGAGAGAACAACAGTTTTATTGCTGCTTTGGATATATTTTGGAACGATAATACTAGACTTTATAATACTAGAAATTATTTGGTGTTCCCACGCTGTTGTACAAAACATTTCAAGAAATAAGAAAAAAATTGTTTGTGTTGGTAGATTTGTTATTGTTTGGGGTATCCCAAGGCAGTTTTTTAAGAGCAAAAGTACACCGTGGTTTACTTATTTCGTCTAATTAGTAAAATAATATGTACCTGGTCAGACATAATAATTGTCTAGCAATAATATTTTTAGTAAACTGATAGTGAAAAAACGTCAATCAGTCAGCTAAAATAATATTGCTAGCCGGATGTGGACAGTGTGGTTGACAAGGCATGAACTGTGTGTGGGCGTGGCCTGTCTCTTGTTTTTGTACGCCGTACAATCGTCCATGATTTTTCTACAACTTGAAAACAAGTATGGCGATTATTTAGGGTGTTAAATTTTTTTATTTGATTATTTCTGTAGTTTTGTAATCGGAGTTCAGCTTTAACTGGTTAAAAGGGTTCAATTTGTGTTTTCTTTAATATGTTTATATGTTTGTCAACATGCTAAAGTCATAGGCTTCATTTTAACCTTTTAACATCCACAATTTTCACGACTGCTTGTATGGTGAAGTTGTTGTTGGAATCTAGGAACCCATTTTCTTGGTTTACGAATCGCTTCCAGTTGATGAAAGAGTACCATCCAAACCCTTTTTGAAAACCCTCTGAAGCCTTGGGAATATTGACACTTAGTCTTAAATTATTTTCATCTAATTCATTAATTAGTTCTAAAGAGTAAAGAACATTACAAGATAAAATATCTCGGCCCATGTTCACAAAACGAAGATAAATTTGTAAACTTTCACTTTCATCACGAGTATTTGTCACGACAACTACACTCCACTGTAAACCCTGAAATGTTGTAACAGGGCTGTCGAAAAACTCATTAAGTTTGACTTGATCTAAGTTAAATGTTTTTATAAAACTTGTTTCAAGCTGTATATCCATTTCACCAAGTTGTTTCTGAAGAACTGTTTCGTCTATCTTTTTTTCTTTAAACGATGGGTACGTCACATCCGGGAACGACACTGATCGCTTCTTGGCGATCTTTTTGCAGTCTGTCCAAAACTTGAACAATGGATATGTCTTCTATAATGTTCTCAGAATACTTGACATCTGCTTTCAAATCTTCTGCTAGGGTTTCAATGTCTGCCACAAGCTTTGCGAATTTTTCATTTTCTTCATTGCAGGTCTTTTTAATTTCTTGTTTGGTATTTCCTCCAATTTCTTGAACTTTAGCACAAATGTTTCTGACATGAACATCAAAGTTGTCACACGCAGATTGTGCAGATTCTTTCACATGAGATAATTTACTTTGTAAGAATGTTGAATGGTTTTGAAGTGTAAAAATATGTTTCTTTATTTCTAATATTAATGTTCTAAGTTCGTTAGGGTCGCCTGTCCAACCTCGTGGGTTTTCTCCGGGTCCTCCGGTTTCCTCCCACTGCTAAAGACCCCTTACGCGCAAGCGAATTATTGAAATAAAATTAAACTATATGTTAGTCCCGAAATGACCTAGTTTGTGTCGAGTGGACGTTAAACCCCATTTCTCCCTCTCTCTCTAAGTTCGTCTCTGAAAAGTTCACACACGTCATCTTCTTGTAAATCTAACAAGGTATGTCCATTATGATCTTTGATAAGACATTTAAAACAGATCGCCCCAAACAATCTTTGCAATAGATGTCTCTGATCTTTACTGGGTGGAGTGGACAGAAATCACTAGGGTGTACAGGTGGCATTTTTTCGCTGCTATTTTGCTCTAACCCTGCTCTCCTAGTGTGCCAGGAGATCTTCCTTAGTGTGCCACTAAAAAAATGTAAAAAACCTCGTGATCCCAATTGAGTATTCACTGGTGTCTACTGCTAAGTTCATAGCTGTGTTTTTCTTTGTTTAGTTTGAGTCATTCTATGTGTCTATGACTATTCTCTGTCTACGGTTGTATTCCGTCCAAATTACCATGTTTTTATTTTGCAAAATTCAAATATTTTTTATATGTATTTAGCCAGGTGTGCCGTTATTTTTTCATGTGTTCCAAGATGTGCCGTTGGCAAAAACAGGTTAAGAACCACTGCTCTA